ATGATCACAACCATTCAAGCCCCGATCATCTGCATTCGCACGTTCATGGAGCATCGACAGCGGAAAAAGCGGATGAATTGCAGGCGCTTGCAACGAGCTTCATCGATGGGTTCAGGGCAGCTGAAGACAAGACCAGCTATCTCAGGCTTGCCGGAGTACCGTTCCACCGGCCCGGCTCCGACACTCTGATCCAGCATCTCGTCGATGCGAAGATCGTTTCCAACTGGCAGATCGGAACAGCATCGCCCGCATTTGCCTCCAGGGAACTCGTCTATATGCCCTTCCCTGGCGCCATGGTGTCGGAGCGTGAAACGATGACGTTCACCTATGTTTCCCTCACCGAGCGACGCGATATTGACCTGATTGACATTTTGACTGAACGCCTCAAACACGGAGAAATAGCAAAATGAACCGTATTATCCTTGCTTGTCTGCTGACGACAGTTTCAGCACCGGTCATGGCGCACCCCGGAGACCATCACGATGTCTCTGGCTGGTCAGGAACTCTTCAACACTTTGTAGAATCGCCGTTTCACGCGGCCTTGCTGGCAGGGTCGCTTGCCGTGGGTTTTGGTCTTTTCAAGTTGGTCAGGAACCTGAAGAGACACAAGGCAAGATAAACAATTGTGCACTTCCGGGCGGTTACCCTTTGCTACCGCCCGGCCTGCCCTGATCTTTGCTCCGATTGAGATTTCGGAGCGACCAAATTTGGTACACATTCTCGCCGTCTCGTCGTGGCTTTGAATCTGGAAATCATCTGAAACTTGTGACTTTGGTTTCCGTTTTCGCAAAACCCACTGGAATTTTGCGCATTCCATTTGCCGGTGCGTGGATAGACTGTCGTCGTTATCAGATAGTTATGCCGTCGATCCTGTAAATCGAACGAAAACGGGTATGGTCATAGCTCTGAAACAGTTGGTCCGCAATGGTATGTCGGCTTTCAGCCTCGTGGTCGCCGTCAGCTGTTTCGGCGCGGCGCTCACTCCGTCGCTGATGCCGCGCGATCCAAATGTTCAGGCGGCGCTCGCCGCGGTGGCCGCCAGCCTTGGTTATGAGGCAGGTCTGCTTGTACGTAGCTTGTGGCGGTATCTGGAAATTCCTGATTTCAAAGGCAAGGTGCGCAGGGTCTGGTGGGTCCTGTCGCTCGCGGTAAGTACCGGCATTCTGGTCTATTCGCTTGCCAAAGCCGCATCCTGGCAAAATGCTACGCGTGCAGCGGTGGAACTGCCTCCTCTGGATACAGCTGCGCCGATTTATTTATTTGCTGTCGGCGGTCTCATCTTTCTTGGCCTGTGGTTCTTGTTCCGCATTGCAGGCGGGCTCCGCAGACTTGTCGCCTGGCAACTGGATCGTGTCTTGCCTAGAAAAGTCGGTGTCGTTCTCTCCGTTGCGCTCGTCGGCTGGTTTTTCTGGGCACTGATCGACGGTGCACTGGTCCGGTCCTTGTTCCGGGCAGCAGATGCCTCGTTTGAAGCTGCCGATATCCTGATAGAGCCAGATATCGCGCAACCGCAGGATCCGATGAAAACCGGCAGCGCCGCCTCGCTGGTCAAATGGGACGAAATAGGCCGCTGGGGTCGGCACTTCGTTGCCTCAGCGCCAACAATCAAGGAAATATCCGAATTCCAATCCGGTACCGTCATGGAGCCTGTACGCGTTTACGTCGGCAGACGCTCGTCGGAAACTGCGAAGGAACGGGCCGAACTGGCGCTTGAGGAATTGATCCGCGTTGGCGGCTTTGAAAGATCTGTCCTGATCGTGATGGTGCCCGTCGGAACAGGGTGGATGGATCCGGGAGCACACGACACCCTCGACTTCATGCTGGCAGGTGATGTGGCAACCGTGTCGGTGCAATACTCCTACCTGACCAGCGTTCTTTCGCTTCTGGCACATCCGGACTATGGCGTTGCCCAATCCAGGGAGTTGTTCGAAACAATCTACGATCACTGGACCGAACTTCCAAAAAACAACAGACCGGCCTTTTATGTTCATGGCCTGAGCCAGGGTGCTTTCAATTCCCAGGCGACGCTACCCTTGTTCGACATGCTCGGCGATCCGATACAAGGAGCGATGTGGGCCGGCTCCCCTTTCTTTTCCCTGTATTGGTCTGAAGTGCGTGACAACCGAAATGCCGGCAGCCCGGCCTGGAGGCCGACTTTCGGCAACGGGTCCCTGGTTCGCGTCATGGACCAGTACGGTGGCTTGCAGGGCGACTTTACGCCCTGGGGACCCTTGCGCGCGGTCTTTCTCAACTATGGCAGCGATCCGGTCGTCAATTTCACATTTGACAGCTCCGTGCGGCCACCGGCCTGGCTCAATCAGCCAAGAGCGCCTGACGTTTCAGAAAAACTGTCCTGGTTTCCGGTCGTCACAATGCTTCAATTGGCTCTCGATTCCATGTTCGCGCTCGATGTTCCTCGGTATGGGCACTACTATGTTGCACCAGACTATATCGATGCCTGGGCTGCCGTTGTCGAACCGGACGGGTGGTCGAAAGGACGTGCCGACCAGCTCAAGGAAATCTTCTCAAGGCGCGGACCGGCGTTCTGAGTTCATTTTTTTTCCAGGAGTCTGGACAGTTCCTGCTTGAAAACCTCCTTGGCCGGATCCGCAGCTTCCAGAAGTTCCTCGATCTTGAAAAAATCCATTGTCTTGAATTTGCCGATGGGTGGTTCGATCAGCAGGTCCGGTCGTGAGCATTCCAGCTTGGCGGCAACGAGCGAGTGAAGCGTGATGGAGAATGATCCGATCCAGGTGTCCATTCCGCTCGGAAGTCCGCTCTTGCGGGAATAGTCGCTGCCGGTGACATCGATACCGACTGTCAGGAGCTTGCTGTCATCGAAAACGTCGAATGGCGTCGGATTGACGAAACCGCCGTCAATCAGCACGAGGCCGTCGATCTCGACCGGCGTCAGAAGCATCGGCAACGCCGATGAGGCCGCTATGGCCGGCAGCAAGGGGCCTTCCTCGAGGACAACCTGGGACTGCCGGTAAAAGTCAGTCGCGATGATCTTCATTGGAATGCGCAGTCCGGAAAAATCCGCGGCCAACTCTGCTGGAAACACCGTTTCAAACAGCACGATCGGGTCGATGATCGCGGGTCGCACCACGTTGAAAAGAGATGACCATGTCCGACCATCCTTCAAAAACAGTTTCTGGAATAATTGCGTTTTCCTGGTGAACAAATCGACGGCGTATTTTCGAATTTCCTTGCCGCTCATCCCGCTTGCATAGAGCCCGCCAAGTATGGATCCCATGGAGGTTCCGGAAATTTCCGTTGGCGTAACGCCGAGCTCATCCATAGCTTCCAGGATCGGAATGTGCGCAAATGCCTTTGCTGCACCTCCTCCGAGCGCGAGTGCAAATCCGTCGGTCGGCATTTCGTCGCTTTCTTTCACCGGAGTTTCCGTCGAAGCTTGAACGGGTTTCAATGTCTCTATCGTTGTTCCGCCGGCAGCCAGAGCTCCGAGCATCAGTTCACGTCGCTGAATCATTGTCAGGTTTCCCATCGCATGAAAGCCAACATTCACATCAGGTATCGTGGCAATCAAGACAATTGAAGCGGTACCAATGCCCTTCGCGGGACATCAGTTGGATTGGGTATCTGACGTATTAATCGCCTGAGACGATCAACTCTACTGGCTGTTGGAGTATCCATCACACGTTCAACACAGTCTCAAGAAGTCCTCGACGCCATTCTCAAGGTTTCAATCGCGAGAATTCTGATTTAAGCGAATCAAAAAACGTCGGCGAGACATCACATCTAGTTTTCCTAACGTCAACGTGTGCCGACCGTGTGTCGAAGTGAGCAGAGCGGATCAGCGGTTCCCTTAGTGTTCAAGCCGCACCCCGATCGGGGTGTTTGAACACTGTTAATGTGGAGAGCGACATGTCAAAGATTACCTCGCTGCTTGGTGCAAGCGTGATAGGCATCTTGGTTGCGGGCTCAGCGAACGCCGCAACAATTGATATTACTTTCAATAATTCCAACGGCTTTGGTTTCCTGGTGACGCCTGTTTATACAGGTATTCACTCAGGCGGCTTTGATGCATTTGATGAAGGTGCCTCGGCAAGCGCCGGCATTGAACAAATCGCGGAAGTTCCGGTTCCGCCAAACCCACCAAACCTTATCGCGCCTGAGCGTCTTGCCGTCGAACCCAATTCACAAGGCGGGTTTGTCTTCGGTCCCGGAGGACCGATCCTGGATGGCGAATCCGGTACATTGACCATTGATGTCGTCGATCCGACAGTGAACCGCTACGCGACATTCCTGTCGATGTTTGTACCGTCAAACGACACCTTTCTGGGCAATGACGATCCGCTTGCCTACGCGATATTTGATGCAGCGGGCAACGTGATCGAACAGACGATTGAAATCACGGGAAGATCCATCTGGGATGCCGGAACAGAGGTGAACCAATTGTTCGGGGCTGCCTTTCCGGGCCAGGACATTCAACTCGGCGACACTGAAGGTGGCACCATCACGCGCCTGATAGACATCGATGATGGGTCAGGTGGGAATGGATTTAGCGCGCTTGAAGCCCTGTTTGGTGTAACCGGTGCCGGATCGATTACGGCGGATACTGTCCTCTTCACAATCGATATTGAGGCTGCACCGACAGCTGTACCGCTTCCTGCGGGTGCCGGATTGCTGCTTGCCGGCCTCGGCGTACTTGGTTTTGCAGGGCGCAGCCGCGCCAGGAAAGCCTAGACAAAACACTTCATCTGGGCGTGTTCACTCGCCCAGATGATACCCAAAGGGTTGCCGATATTGCCGAATGCACTCGTGGCATCTTCGATGCCGGGCCCTGGACAAGATCTGCAACGCAATCTGAAAGATCGTCAAAACCGTTTTTTTTTGATGGATGGGATTGAAGTTGAAGCATTCAGGCATGAACCTCCAATTTTTAAAAATGTACTTGTACGGCGTTTCATTTTTCGCCTTCGACCCAAACTCATTCTGACCCGACGTTTCCAAACAGCGGTGTACCGTATTCCGGGATGGAGATCCTTGCCTCGGCGGTGATCCAGTGTCTAGGCTTGGGCAACGTCATGTCACCGACGCACGTTGCAAGTTTCATCCCGGGATACAGGAAGAAAACCGTGAAGATTGAAGCCGTTGAAACACTGCGACTGGGCGCTCATCCCAATCTTCTCTGGGTGCGCATACACACAGAGGATGGCTGCACCGGTCTGGGTGAAACGTATTTTGGTGCCGGGCCGAGCGAAGCGGATGTTCACGAACGCATCGCACCCATAATTTTGGGACAGGATGCCAGCCAGATTGAATTCCTGAACATGAAGATGCAGCCATATGTCGGCTTCACGGGAAGCGGCGCGGAAGTGCGGGCGCTCGCAGCGATTGACGTGGCGCTTTGGGACATTGCTGCAAAATCGGCTGGCAAACCGTTATGCGATCTTCTGGGGGGAAGAACCCGGACCGGAATTCAGGTCTACAACACTTGTGCTGGAGCGGACTACGTCTCCAAGACCTCGGCGGTGAGACCCGATAATTTCGGGACTGACGGCGCGAAACAGGACAGCGGTCTTTATGACGATCTCAATGGGTTTTTAAACCATCCCGAAGACCTTGCCGCGTCCCTGTTGGACATGAACATCTCCTCCATGAAGATCTGGCCGTTCGATCTGGCAGACGGCGCTGTTGATGGCGTCGATATTTCCCTGCCGGATTTGAAAAGGGGTGTCGAACCGTTTGAAAGGATCCGCAAGGCACACGGTGACAAAATCCGCTTGAAGGCGGAGTTGCACGGATTGTGGAGCCTAAATGCCGCAACAAAAATCGCGAACGTACTTGAACCACTCGACATGGACTGGATCGAAGATCCGGTCTGGATGGACCGTCCCCACGAAGTGGGCAATCTGGCGAGCGTGACATCGGCCCCGCTGGCAGGCGGCGAGACGCTCGCAAGCCTCGGACAATTCAAGTCTCTGATCGACGAAGGCAACATTTCGACACCCATCGTGGATGTCGTATGGGCGGGAGGCGTCACGGCTGCACGAAAAATAGCTGCTCTTGCCGAAGCGAGTTCACGCCCGATCGCCTTTCATGACTGTTCCGGTCCCGTCACCCTCGCCGTTTCGACACATCTCGCACTCAGCCTTCGAAATGTCAGGGAACAGGAGATAGCTCGGGGCTTCTACTACAACTGGTACCAGGATTTTGTGGATCATCTGCCGCCCATTGAAAACGGGATGATATCAATTCCTGGCGGCCCCGGTCTGGGAATGGACTTGCAGCCGGATATCTTCAGGCGCGCCGACGCGATCCACAAGACAACCAGAGTGGAATGAAGCGGCCCTGACCAAAGGGAAAACAATGGAACGTCCAGCAATTCTCTGAATCGAGACCGATCGTCAGATCTCTTAGGTCCGGACCGGGACGTATCCCGGTCCGGTGGTATTGCAAATTACTCCGGCAGCTTGTCGTCGACACCCTGGATGTACCAGTTCATGCCGAGGATCGCGCCATCATCGAGTGTGACGCCATCTTCAGCAGCTACCGAACCGTCCTGCTTGGTGATCGGACCGGTGAAGGGTTCCCAGCCGCCCTTTATCTTGGCTTCAGTTGCCTTTGCCATCTCAACGACATCCGGCGGAAGGTTCGTGTAGGGCGCCATCACGACGTGACCTTCTGCCAGACCGTCCCAAGCGCTGCCTGCATGCCATTTGTCATCCAGAACTTCCTGCACACGCTCTATGTAATACGGGGCCCAATCATCAATAATTGCGGTGTATTGTGCATCCTTGGCGAAATTAATCATGTCGGATGCCTGACCGAACCCATGGACCCCCCGTTCCTGAGCCACCTGAAGAGGTGCTGTGGAATCGGTGTGTTGCGTGATGATATCGGCGCCCTGATCGATGAGTGCCTTGGCAGCATCAGCTTCCTTGCCCGGATCGAACCAGGTGTTGACCCAAACAACCTTGACCTTGAAATCAGGATTGACCGACTGCGCGCCGAGCAGGAATGCATTGATACCAGCGACAACTTCCGGGATCGGGAATGATGCTATGTAGCCGGCAGTTCCTGTCTTGGATTGTTTGGCAGCGATCTGACCGATGATGTACCGGCCTTCGTGAAATTTCGAGTTGTAGGTGGCAACGTTGTCCGCGGTCTTGTAACCGGTTGCGTGCTCGAACTTCACATCCGGGAACTTCTTCGCGACCTTGATCGTCGGATTCATGTAACCGAAGGAAGTGGTGAAGATGACGTTGCAGCCTTCTCGGGCGAAACGCTCGATAGCGCGCTCGGCATCCGGACCTTCCGGAACGCTTTCAAGATAGGCGGTTTCAACCTTGTCACCGAACTTTTCTTCGACTGCCAAACGGCCCTGGTCGTGCTGGTAAGTCCAGCCGAAGTCACCCACGGGACCAACGTACACAAAACAGGCTTTGACATCAGCAGCGTTTGCAGCCGAACCGGCAGCAGCGAATGCCACGGCTGCGACAGTGGCTTTCAAAAGAGATTTCATGTGTTCATTCCCCTTTTCTTTGATCTCTTTTTGCGATCTCTTCTTCAGCCCGCCCCCTGATCGCTAACGGGTTCGGACAGGACCTCATGCTGAATGGATTACCGGTCGGGTACGAACGGTTTTCCAAGACAGGCCGGGGTATTTACCAGTGTCAGTCTGCGGTTTGCGGAGATAAGGACAAGTACTCCAATAGTCGCAAGATACGGCAGGCTCGACAGAAGCTGGGACGGTATATCAAATTCGAGCGCCTGAGCGTGAAGGTTCAGGACACTGACGGCACCAAAGAGATAGGCCCCGACAACGACTCGCAGTGGCAGCCACGAGGAGAAAACCACGAGCGCCAGGGCGATCCATCCGCGGCCAGCTGTCATGTTTTCCACCCACTGCGGCGTATAGGCCAGCGAAAGATAGGCTCCGGCAAGTCCTGCGCAGGCACCACCGAACAAAATTGCCATGAAGCGGATTTTCAGCACCGAATATCCAAGAGCGTGTGCGGAACCATGGTTATCGCCGACTGCCCGCAACACAAGTCCAAGACGGGTGCGGAACAGGCAATAGGCGACTGCAGCCACGAGGGCAAAGCTCAGGTAGACCAGCGCATCCTGCTGGAAGAACACCGGTCCGATGAAAGGAATTTCGGAAAGCACGGGAATATAAAGCTGTGGCAGGTCGAGGCCGGGGACGCCGATGAACGCTTCCCCGATCATTCCCGAAAGCCCAATTCCAAGGATAGTCAGTGCAAGTCCTGTCGCAACCTGGTTGGCGACAAGAAATAGCACCAGGAATGCAAACAGCGCAGACATTGCCATGCCGGCGACAACCGCCGCAACAACACCCAGAGATCCCGAGCCGGTCTGGTTGGCGACTGCGAATCCGATCACTGCACCCATGATCATCATACCCTCAACGCCCAGGTTCAGGACACCGGAGCGCTCCACAACAAGTTCCCCGACGGCTGCGATGAGCAGAGGCGTTGCCGCGGTGATGACTGTCAGCAAAACAGCTTCAAACATGAGATGCCTCCCCGGTTGGAACGCGCCGGGATACCATGCGGATCCGATAGAGAATAAGCGTATCGCATGCCAGCACGAAAAACAGAAGCAGACCCTGAATGACGCTGGCGATTTCATTGGAAACGCCCATCGCCGACTGAACACCTTCTCCACCAATATAGGACAGTGCCAGGACAAACCCGGCAATGATGATGCCGATCGGATTGAGGCGCCCCAGAAACGCAACGATGATTGCCGTGAAACCGTAGCCTGGCGATATCGACGGCAACAGCTGGTTCAAGGCGCCTGAGACTTCCATGGTTCCAGCCAGTCCGGCCAGTGCACCTGCGATTGCGAAAGAGAACAGGGTCAGTCTCTTGGCGGAAAATCCTGCGAAACTGCCGGCGCGCGGGCTTTCTCCCATCACCCTGATTTCAAATCCCTTCAAGGTTTTGGCGAGAACGATTGCCAGCACGATTGCAATGACGATCGTGATCGGTGCCGACAAGCTCATGGCTCCCCCGAACACTTCGGGTAGCGTCGCTGCGTCGGAGAAAATTTTGGATTCCGGGAAGTTGTATCCGTCCGGGTCTCGCCACGGCCCTCGGACAAGGTAATCCAGAAGGAGCCCAGCCACATAGACAAGCATGAGACTCGTCAGGATCTCGTTGGTATTGAACCGGGTCTTCAACAGGGCTGGTATCAGGGCCCATAACGCGCCGCCGATCGCGCCGAAAAGCAGCATGAGAGGTAGCGTGATGACATTTTCAAAAGATGGAAACAGGATCGGCAGCGCCGAGCCGAACAATGCACCGACAACGAACTGGCCTTCCGCGCCGATGTTCCAGTTGTTGGACAGGTAACAAACCGACAGACCACAACCGATCAGGATCAATGGTGTCGCCTTGTCTATGGTAGCTTCGAGCGACCATTGTTGTGTCAGCGGTTCGATAAAGAATTTATATAATCCTATCAGAGGATTATGACCAGTTATTGAGAAAAGGATTGCAGCTGAAAGTGCCGTGAGAGCAACAGCTATCAATGGCGACAGCAGTGCCATCGTCCGGCTGTGTTCTTTTCTTTTGACAAGCTCGATACGCATCAGGCCACCTCTCCTTGCGTCTCGGCGCCGCCCGCCATCAGCAGTCCGACGCGTTCCCGCGTCATGTCCGTTGCGGGTTCGGCCTCCGACAGAAAGCCCCGCGAGATCACGGCAATCCGATCGGCAATTTCGAAAATCTCATCGAGATCCTGACTGATGACAAGTACGGCTGAACCGGATCGAGCGAGATCGATCAGCGCCTGACGAATAAGGGCGGCCGCCCCGGCATCAACACCCCATGTCGGTTGATTGACAACGAGGATGCCCGGGTTGCGATCGAGTTCCCTGCCGACCACGAATTTTTGCAGATTGCCGCCCGATAGCGATCTTGCCTCCGGATCGTCATGGGACATGCGAACATCGAATGCCTGCTTGATCCGCTTTTCCAATACGCTCGCCTCGGCGTTGGAAACAAAACCGGCCCCAACCAGTTTGTCGCCGGTTCCATGACGTGTCAGAACGATGTTCTGGGACAGTTTCATGCCCGGAACCGCACCGTGCCCGAGCCGTTCTTCCGGGACGAAGGCAGCGTTCCGTTTGCGTCGCCAGTTGATATTCTTGTTGCCGCACGCTGTTCCGTCGAGATGGACCATGCTGGCGGCGGCGGGCATTTCACCTGAAATAGCGTCGAACAATTCACCTTGCCCATTTCCTGCTACTCCGGCGATTGCGACCACTTCGCCGGCCCTAAGCTCCAGCGAGATGTTGTTGAGTGCGGTCGCAAAAGGAGTTGCCGCCTTGGCACTCAATCCCTGAAGGGCGAGCCTGGTTTCGCCAATTTCGGGAGCCTGCTCGCCTGCGCTTACTGCTGCTACGTCCGCACCCACCATCATGCTGGCCAAAGAAGCAGGTGTTTCGAGTGTCGGATCACATTCACGCACCACCTGTCCATGGCGCAGGATCGTGGCGTGGTGACAGATCCGCTTCACCTCTTCCAGACGGTGGCTGATATAGAGCACCGCGCAGCCTTCCTTGGCGAGCCGTTGAAGGGTCAGGAAAAGCTGGTCGGCCTCCTGCGGGGTCAACACGGATGTCGGTTCATCCATGATGATCAGCCGGGGTTCCTGCAGCAAACAGCGCACAATCTCGATCCGCTGGCGTATTCCGACTGGCAGATCGGCAACGATATCCTCCGGATCGAGCGGCAGGCCATAGTCACGGGAAACAGTCTCAATGCGCTTTGCGAGATCCTGCATGTTGCCCGGGTTTGGCAGTGCAAGCGCAATGTTTTCAACGACATTGAGGGCTTCGAACAGCGAGAAGTGCTGGAATACCATGCCGATGCCGAGTTCCCGGGCAGCCGCGGGGTTCCCGATGGTGACCTTTCGATCACCCCACAATATTTCGCCATCATCGGGTTCGAGCGAGCCGTAGAACATCTTTACAAGCGTCGACTTGCCTGCACCGTTCTCGCCAAGCAGTGCATGGATTTCTCCCTTGTTGATGATCAGATCGACACGGTCGTTTGCAAGTATGTCGCCGAACCGCTTCGTCAGCCCTCGTGCGTCCAGCAATGTGTCCTTTTCGGATCTGTCCTGCTGCACCGGGTGTTCGTCTACCTCTGGAAGGGTTGTTTCTGCCACGCTATCCCCCAAGCGAATGCCGCCTTATTGACCAAGTGTTATTTTTTGTGCAAGCCCCTGACCAATGAAGGCCTGGTGTTGCAACGTTTCGTCCCGTTCCAAAAGATCGACAACAATTCCGGCTGCGATAGCCGCCGGATGC